TGCCAGATATCTCTTATTTATCTTTTTATTAGATCTCTCTTATTTATCTTTTTGCCAGATTTCTCTCATTTATCTCTTTGCCAGATTTTTCTCATATATATCTCTTTGCCAGATTTCTCTCATTTATCTCTTTTTCAGGATATTATCGACCCCAATATGGCTCTATCAAAAATATCCTGAGCAACTATCCCACCAAAAGTCACGTACACTGAAATCCATGCGCCAATTTTTTTTATTTCAGGGCCGTTTCTTGTTAGAAAAACGGTTTCTTTACCCCCCGCGAGGCATTAATGATATTTGCTTAAGGCCAATTCTTCGCCATTCCATTCCCAATGGTGCAGGAAAATTCGGAAAAAAAGAAAAATAAATCGGATTGAGATAGCCCGTCTTCAATTTATCTATTAAATCTTGCGGCACTCCATGCTAGTGAGACAATTATGTTGATATTATCCCTTTGTAGCCCGCGACAAAATTCCCTCTTATATCATAATCTCGAATCGTCCCGCCATGTCGGGAGGGTGCTCGGAGCAACAACAACCGGGGATTCAAGGTCTTCGAAGGGGTCAGAAAATATCTGGGAGCACCAGGCTCTTGCACCGAAGTGAGGATCTTATTCTATATGTTGGGTCGGGACACCGCGCTTCCTGCCGATGCTGTAAGAATGTAAGACCAACGTGAAAAATTCTCGAGCAATACGTCCCCATAATATTTCTTCCTAATATGAATATAATGTTCGGAGATGCCTCACTGCCAAAAATCATGATGAAATTCCACTAGGATCCCATCAATTTCGTAGAGTTCCCATAAAACTTTGGCATGTGTTTTAGATAGAAGCCTTCCATATCCAACGCTCCGATATGTCGGAAATGTATGTCCACCTCCTCGCCCTACTTAGATATTTCGAACGTCGCTAAAAATATCATATAGTCCATATTATAATCGGAAGGGAAATATTTGTAAAATACCCGCACCTGCTGCCCCTCACCGCTAGAACACTCGAGCATCATCGGTCGGCCAGGCTCCAATTCTCTCATAAATGAAGAAAAAGATTTTCGCCCTCCAAAATCTCATTCGATAATTTTCTCATTCGAAAGTTTCGAATAAACCAACGAAATCAAAGGGCCCCATGCACTCCCACTAGAAGACCCACCTCCACCCCTATGAAGGATGATATCCTTTCTTAAGCTTCCTCTCGGGTAATCGTATCTCTGCCAGAAGTGTTTTTCAATCATATATCTATATTAGTAGGTATGTAAGCCTCTTTAAATGTTGGGCATCCCGTATGGTGCAGGAACTTTTCATAATATTCCTCGATCTATATATAAAAGTTCTCAGAACGATATATAAACTTTCCAGTAGATGATTTGAAATCATTCCAGATAGTCCGGAACCGTTCGGAACCGTTCTGGACTATATATGAACCCGACGTTTATAAATTACAAGCAGTTCGGGGGAACTTTATATATAGTCCGGACGTATGAAATCTGTCCCAACAGACCCATGCCCATAAAGAGGCCCATGCACCCACTAATATATGTATGTATATACATATATATTTACAGAAAAACATTTTTTTGATAAATTGATAAATGAAAAGGTCCATGTTATTGAAAATGAAATTAGACGTCCAGCCGAACACAGACTCATGAGACCATGTCGTACTTCGCATATCGCTAGGCTAGACCTGTCCTGTGCCGCAGCAGTGAGCAAAAGGATGCATACCGCCTGCAGGCAAAGCACTCGAAAAGCAAGGCGCGCAAACTGCAGGACCAAGCTGAGAACAACTTTCTCGATGCGCTGAAGCAAATTCAAGGACCTCGTGAAGGTTCTGAGCTTCGCCCAGTACCCCTGAAGCCTGGCCGATGGAATTAACCAATTGGGCTCTTGAGCCGCTGCTAGCTACTGGGTTTGGAAGTTTAAAAACGCCAGGCGAGTCTCTGCGAAGAGGCTGAGCCTTGTCGCAGGGCCACCTGACAAATGGAGCGCTATGCTCCGAAAACAATGTGCACCGAAGGCAACGTGCGCGCCTGCCCCTCAGGTCTGCTGTCAATGCTTCCCATCCTGAGCTCGTGTTCCGAGCGATCCGTGCTTCTGACTCACCGCCGCGAAGGCAAGGAAATAGTGGTGGTGGCCGTCGGTGCTGGGCGAATGGAGGTGGAAATGGAGGTGGAAATGGAGGTGGAAATAGAGGTGGAAATGGAGGTGGAAATGGAGGTTGAAATGGAGGTGGAAATGGAGGTGGAAATGGAGGTGGAAATGGAGGTGGAAATGGAGGTGGAAATGGAGGTGGAAATGGAGGTGGAAATGGAGGTGGAAATGGAGGTGGAAATGGAGGTGGAGATGGAGGTGGAAATGGAGGTGGAAATGGAGGTGGAAATGGAGGTGGTGGAGGTGGTGGAGGTGGTGGTAGTGGTAGCGGTAGTGGTAGTGGTAGTGGTAGTGGTGGAAGTGGTGGAAGTGGTGGACGTGGTGGGCGTGGTGGACGTGGTGGAGGTGGTGGTGGAAGTGGTGGAAGTGGTGGACGTGGTGGGCGTGGTGGACGTGGTGGAGGAGGTGGTGGTGGTGGTGGTAGTGGTAGTGGTAGTGGTAGTGGTGGAAGTGGTGGAAGTGGTGGAAGTGGTGGAAGTGGTGGACGTGGTGGGCGTGGTGGACGTGGTGGAGGTGGTGGTGGAAGTGGTGGAAGTGGTGGACGTGGTGGGCGTGGTGGACGTAGTGGAGGTGGAGGAGGTGGTGGTGGTGGTAGTGGTAGTGGTAGGTGGTGGAGGTGGTGGAGGTGGTGGAGGTGGTGGAGGTGGTGGTGGTGGTAGTGGTAGTGGTAGTGGTGGAAGTGGTGGACGTGGTGGGCGTGGTGGACGTGGTGGAGGTGGTGGTGGAAGTGGTGGAAGTGGTGGACGTGGTGGGTGTGGTGGACGTGGTGGGCGTGGTGGAGGAGGTGGTGGTGGTGGTGGTGGTGGAAGCGATGGTGGTGGTGGTGGTGGTGGTGGTGGAAGCGATGGTGGTGGTGGAAGCGATGGTGGTGGTGGTGGTGGTGGAAGCGATAGGTGACGACCAGCTCTCGAGAAGGTCTTGTTGTGAATGACTGGTAAACCTTGGTGGGTAAGTAGTGGCAGTGAGCGCCGCCGTCGAGCTCAGACCACTGAGGTCTGTCGTCAATGGCCACCAAGCTAGCAAGCCTGATGTAGTGTCCAGCTCGCTCTCGGATGTCACCAGCGCGTTCTGAAAGAGCTGTGCTTCAGAACGTGCCACATTCCAAATCCGAGCATTGAACATGTAACCGGAGCGAGCGAAGCCTCCACCAAAGGACGTTGAGAGGCGTTGCGGGTATGTGTTCAAGCCAGTGCGGCTTTCTTTCTGGCCACTGACATAGAGCGTGAGAGTGTTGCCGGCATCTCTCGTTGCCGCGAGATGGTACCAAGTGTATTGGCGAAGGCAAACGCTGCTGTAGAAGCCAGAGCCGCCAACATGCAAACTCCACGAAGTGGGTCTCCCATCGCCGTTTCCATGGCCCCCTGCACAGCTTCCAGAGCCGCTGACGCTGGCGAGAGAGAAACCATAAGCCACACCGCCAAAGATTTCCAAACGGTAGTTTGAGTAAGAGTACCTGTTGGTCCAGACCCAGGCCTCGTACGTGAAAGTGTCCTGGAGTGACACAGCTGGCATGACAAGTGGGTAATACGGGTACATCACCCCGATTCTCAACCAGCTCTCAAGAAAGTCTGGCCTTCCAACTGTGGCAAAGGTTGGTGGAGCACCGGAAGCAGTGAGCGCCTCCGTCGAGCTCAGACCACTCAGGTCTGTCGTCAACGGCCACCAAGCTAGCAAGCCTGATGTAGTGTCCAGCTCGCTCTCGGAAGTTACCAGCGCGTTCTGAGAGATCTGTGCTTCAGAACGTGCCACATTCCAAATCCGAGCATTGAACATGAAACCGGAGCGAACGAAGCCTCCACCAAAGGATGTTGAGAGCTCGAACGCACGACTCCACCACGCGTGGCTTCTCGTTTTCTGGCCGCTGACATACAGCGTGAGTGTTTCGCTGGAATCTCTGGATGCAGCGAGATGGTACCAAGTGTCACGGCGAAGGCAAACATCGCTGTGGATTGAAGTGCTCGACTGCCTAAAGGCCAAGTGCCAACCAGTGACTTGCCCAGTGCCATCTCCAGCGGGCCTTTGACAGAAAGCATTGGCTTCCCGAAGATAGAAACCATACTCCAAAAATTCAGAGGCACCGCCAAAGATCTCCAAGCTTCGTTCACTGCTTGTCAATGGGCTCTTAACCCAAGCCTCGTAGGTGAAAGTGTTCTGGATAGACACCTGAAATGGCATGACAAGTGGGGACTGCGGCTGCATCACACCGATTGCCACTTGACATCTGGGCCGTCCACCTCGGAAGGTCTGCCGGTCGCCGCATGTCCACTGCATCTCAAGTCCGGCGTAGCCAGGTGGACACCAGACTGTGCATGTGTCGCCATACCGAGCGCCGGTGCAGTTGTTCGGAAAGTAGGAAGGCATCCCGCGGGTGCATGTCTTAGGCGAACAACTTGGCCAGGAACCCGTCCACACCGGGATCTCCTTTCCACGAAAAAGTCCTCCTGAACGGCAACTCATCCGTGCCCATCCTTGCCATTCATAATTGCTACTGCACTTGGCGTAGCAGGAATCCCCAAGACTCATGCTTGGGCCACAATAATGAACCACTCCGACAGCATTCGCAAGTTCGGCCGGCCTCTTGCAGCGTAGTTTCGCGCAGCTGGGCAAAGTTCCTCTGACGTAACCATTGCGTTCGCACGACAAAGTTCTTGTCGCGCCGCTGTAGGACGAACCACACTCAATCTGACAATATTGTCCAACATACATGCGCCGAATGTCAAATGCCCCACAGATGGTCTTGTACTTGTTTGGGTTTCTTTCGAAAGTGCTGGCAAAAGAAGGAGCTCTGCAGGTGGGCCGCGCGCACGTCGGTGCTGGCCATGTCACCTCCAAGCCTTGAGGTCTCTGACAGGTCAACTTGCCATACCTACTTCCTCCGCCCCACCAACGGCCTCGCCAACGGCAGAAAAAGCCGCAGGCGGTGTTTGGAGGTAGCGGATTCCTGCACTTGTGGTAGTACAGATTGGGATTCAGAGCGGGGCTGGTGACGATGGGGCAGGGTTTGGGTGAACACTGCAATGACGAAGAAACGGGCAAGCCCGTGGGCCAGATTTCGCCGTCAGGTTCACAAGTGTATTCTGTGGGCCCTGACACGTAGTCAAAACCATCTCCACAAGAAACTCTGCAAGTGTCGCCGGTTCTCATGGTGCGGTTACATGGCGAAGATGGATCTTGCTGAATGCCAGTGCCGCTGGGCTGCCCACGGGTGCACGTCTTTGGAATGCAACTGGCACCATACGTGTATACCCACCACTGCAGCTCACTCGACCGCGAGCGCCCACAATACAGGCGGGCGGCCCGGCTGTAGTAGTACCGGCTGTAACGGCCTCTACTTTGCTTGTAACCAGGCTTGCATCGCAAGGAGCACTGAGTACGGAATGCAAACGGGCCCCCGTAGCATGTTGTCAGGTCCCAGTTGCGGCTGCCGAGTCGGTTTACGAGGGCCTGCTCCTGAGAGGGTGGTTTGCAGTAGGATGATGCGTTGGATTCATGAACTTCCAACATCGAGGTGCTGTTGGAGATGTTGGATGCGTTGCACTGAAGAGATGCTGTCTCCAGCTGAAGCACTGGCTCCCCATCCACCAGCACACACGTCCTCTCTTCGGCCACTGCACCTTCGCTAAGGGACACGACCGTCGTAGTACTGTTGCCGACAGTGACTTCTGTGGAGTTCTCGCCTGTGAAGTTGTCCGGCAGACTGCACATCGAAGAGCAATTTTCCCCCAAGCTTACGTTGATGCAGTCGGTGACAAATCCAGGAGCCACGAGATCAGGGCAAACGACGGCTTGGAACGGCGTGATGTTGCCCAAGAGCTCACCGTGGGTGCCACATGTCAGCGTTGCGTTCTCTCCAGTATAGCCATCAGCAGCAGAAACGATGCAGGTCTCACCAGCAACTATCCCACTGCAATTGTCGACGGCACCTCAGCTGCGAACCCCAAATCTTACCATCTCTTACAGAACTCTTGGGTAGATCGCGGGCAAGTCATGAAACTCACTGCCAATCACTGAGAAGGCGACCCAGCACGTCCGGCAAGAATGTGCAGTAAACCACCTCTGCCACGCACGCCGGCGCCATGTTAGGAAGGTTCGCCGGCGTCAGATTTCCAGAGCTGTCCACGACCGCATAGCCTTCTGAATCCGCTGTCGTCGGGCCAACATTGCAAACCAGGACAACTCCTTCCCCAGCGTAGCCTGGGATGCATTCTGCGGCACACATGGCACCCTCAGTCTGGTTTGTGCAGTCGTGCTCAAGGTATGGCTGGGCAAAGGCTGATAAAGCACTCAGGTTGCCACAGCTAGGCAGGCTGCATTGCAGAGATATGTTTGTGAAAGAGCCGCTGCTTGTGCAGGTCGCCTCTGAGGATCCAGAAGCCAAGAGGCCTTCACCGCACGTGGCAAAGCAAGACTCGCCAACTGTAGCATTTTCACACGCCGTGGAGTCGATGCCAAACCCCATTGGCAAGTTGTCGGTGCAAATGTTCGCTGTGCATTCCGGAACAGTACCACTCAGAACAACTCCACCCAAAGCACCGGTAGTGCAGTTCCACACGGCTGGAGTTCCGTTGTAGCCATCAGCACAGGCAACCGAACAGGAGGAGCCAGAAGGCGTACCATCACAGTCATGAAGTAAGCTGAGGGCATCCAGAGCTTCGGGTGTCGAGCAGAAAGAAAGCTCGCATGTAGGGGGCGATCCAACAAAATTGCCATCTTGGTCACAAGTGAAGGACCCGGGCTCACCTGTGAAGCCCTCCTCACAACTGGCCGTGCAGTTGTCGCCAAGACTCAGATTCAAACAATCGGCCACCTCACTTCCCTCTACTGATGGTAGAGTCGCCAGATTGCAAGGAGCAGCTGGCACTAGGGTGCTGGAGGTTGTGGTGGTGATCGTGGTTGTTTGTGTGATGTGGGCGGTGGTGGCGGTGTAGTAGGGTTTCTGGTGGTACCTTCTCCACCAACGCGGTCCCCAAGCACGGTGATGTCGGTAGAAGCTGCGATCTTCGAGCGACTCGTTTGTGGGAGCCATGAATGCAGCTCTCTGATTTTTGCGTTGCAGCAGACACACGTTCTCAGTCAGGGCGCACTTGCTCGCAAGGCTTTGCAAGCTGCTTCTCATCATTGATGTTCCACAAGTACCACAGGATTGTGGACATATCATATGGACAAAGAGTGTAGAGGGCACGACAGAACCGCACAAGCCACAGGCAATAGCCGAGACATCTTCCTCACAGTCCTCTACTTTCAAATGTGTGCACACGTCGCCAAGGATGCTTACATGCGCATCGGTGCAATTCAGCTGGCTTGCGATGCACTCAAGATAGACACCAAAATCTGCATCACAGAGCCCGAGCTGGGTCCTGTTACCATTGTAACGGACCATCTTTGTCAAGTCACACTTGCCCTGCGAGTTGTTGCCGGTGCCTGCCGCCACAGCAGCTGTGCCCAACGTGAGGCACATGGCCAACTTGATCAGTACAAAGACTGTCATCCGCATGAAGACTGGAGAGCCAACCATTCTATGGCAATCTAGGAATCTAGGAGGCCTCTAAAACTGCAACAACTCAGCCAAAGGCTTCGTGCTGAAAATGACAAAGCGCTGCGAAACCTGTCTTTGCAGTCCTGCTGACTGACAGGACGATTGGTGCGAAAACCAGCGGTTTCAGCAAGCAATCTAACAACTTTTTGTTAGCCGCCATCGGTGCACTGTCTCATGCAGATCTCAGTCTCGCGTGGCCGAACAGATCTGAGGAGGCCTGAAGCAAGTCGTGCTAGCAATGATTCGCATTGTATCGCAGTGTCAATGAGATTCCTCAGGCCCCAAGCAGGAACAGGAAACACCTGGGGTTAGCACGACTCATCCCAGCAGTCATGGTGCCTGGCAGTCAAGCGCCCGCAAGTCGCTTCGCCTCATCGACACATTTGCCAAGTCACGGGTCTTGAGACCGTGCCTTCGATCTCTTTTTTGGCACACGCCTAGCTGCTCTCAACAGCGCGCCTTGAAGTTTGCCTCTAGCTTGTCGATCATGAGCCCGGCCTGCCGCCATAGAGATGATGGAAGCACTGATTGTGATGATCAAGCAAAACCACACATGAGCAATGTCGTGGCACCAGCCTCCTGCCAACTTCGGCCTTCTTCGGTCTAAACAAAACATGGCAAATGCAGTATCTGCAGTAGACTGCAGTATACGGTACTCTAGTATACTGCATTATATTGTGGTACACTCCATAGTGTAGTGTATGCAATACTGGAGTTTGTCTCCTTTGCAACGTAAAATACTTCGAAAGCATCAGCCAGGCACACCTGAGGCCCTCAGTATACATTGTAAAATGGTATACTACAGAATACTGCAGAACATAGCACTTTTGGTGTTTCCTAACACAGTCCATAACACTTCCAACTTTCAAGCATGACCCTGAAGCTCCCAACAACAAACAGGCAGCAAAAGACCATCACACCTACTACCAACTGTGACAATCGTACCACTGCCCAGGCTGCGTACGCGATGCCCAGCTGTAAACTTTCCTACTGCTGCTGCTACTGCTGCTGCCACTACTACTACGACTACTACGAATACGACTACTACAACTGCTACTACTACTACTACTACTACTACTACTACTATTACTACTACTACTACTACTACTACTACTACTACTACTACTACTACTACTACTACTACTACTACTACTACCACTGCCACTGCCACTACCACTACCACTACCACCACCACCACTACCAATACTACATGCTTTTTGCAACAGGCTTCGCACTACTACTACATCCTGAACCCTGAACCCTGAGCTACCATGGCCCGGCCTTGTGCGTGAATTTCGCTCGGCATTCTCTCCCGTGGCCTGCTCATTATAACTTGTGCTGCTCGGTATTATTTCGCGCTGAACCGCGGCGGACACGCCAGCAAACACCTATTTGCCAGACCACTATGTCTCTTCTGTGGTCGTCCCGATAGAGAAGACACAATGAATGACTCCAAAGCTTCTTGCGGGCAATCCGTATTGATCAAAGCTTAGGCGGCTTCATGCATTCCTGTATATTTCAAGGTGGGGAACAACTGAAACTGGAAGTTGGATCATTCCCGCCTTGGATCAGAAAAAATTGCCGCTGCTGGCGGGCGCTGCAGCAGCAGGCGCTGTAGCAGCCGGCCTGACCAGGGTTTCACCCAGCTGTCAGCCACACTAGGGGCGATGACACCACCACTTAAATCACCGTTGGACACCACACTGTGATCTGAGAAATGCCATTGTTTTCCGGGATGGTTTAGTCACGCAGGATGCATGCTGCCGTTTCTTCGATACTGGGCACTTCTAGCATGTTCAAAGACAAACTGAAGTGAAAAGGAAGAAACAGCAATACGGCGAATGCCAAAACCAAGCAAATTGCAGCCCAACAAACCCGTGAAGTCACAGACATCAGCTTATCACTCAAACCATTCTTCGTGGTCACAGGTCCAATGGTTCGGGAACATCATCTCCCACGTCTCCGTCCGATCCCAGAGTCATGAAAGCCCGGGAGGAACCAGAGGAATCACTCCCGCCTAGTCCCCATATGCAAGTTTACGAATCAGGGGGTGTAGAAGGGGGAACTCGGCCCTAACCCTGACCAGTCTTGGAAAGATAAGAGGTCAGCTTGGTTTGGGGCCTAGAGTTTAGGGGATCAACAACCCCTCAAACTTAACACAACTCGTAAGGCCATGCAGACAAGCCAATCCTGGTTTCGCTGGTTCTTCGCGTCTGTGGCCTCTGCCTGGCCCAGCGTGCTCAAGAGCGTCTTTTTTGCTTTTCTTTTTTTGACTATTCCTGATACTGGTGCTTTTCAGACAAGTGCTGCCATGAATGTTATTGGCCGAAGAGTTTCGACCACACAGCAGAGAGTGACGAATGAAGATCTTTGGCCCTCACCCCCTCCCACCCCTGGGTGCATTTCTGCTTGTCATCGTGTGAAACCTGTGCAGCAATGCAGGTCCTGACCCCCTAAACCCTGAACCCCTAAACCCTAAACCGCCCAAAGCCTTGCTGACTCTTGGGGCGCCGGCACAAAGTCTGCAAGCTGCATGGAAACTGCAAGGATGGAGTCGTCATCGTGGGTCTTGCAACAAGAAACTTGCAGAGGGGTTTAGGGTTTAGGGTTTAGGGCCTAGGGTTTCGGGTTTAGGGATCAATACCCGGATCCCGATCCCCTTAAGGGTTCCGACCAAATCACCCAACAGTAGTATAGGGTACTATGTGGGGGGACTCTACTTTGTGGATCCTCCCAGGAATTCTGCATATCTTCCCAAGTTACAACTTGGAAGGCAAAACGTTAGGCGGCCCTAAACCCTAAACCCAAACCCCTAACCCCTAACCCCTAAACCCTAAACCCTAAACCCTAAACCCTAAACCCTGAACCCAAAAGGCCCCAAACCCTAAACCAGCGGCTGCGGAGCCTTGTTTTCAAGCTGCAGCTCCAGTGTCACCTTCTGGCCCCTGTAAAGTTCTTTGACCTGGCGGGTTGGAGGACGGCAAACACCTACTTAAGTCAGTTTTCTAGTAACTCTAGTATAATTATGGCCCCTCTGTTTCGGGTACCCCAAAATTATCGGGGGCCGCCGTAGAATAGGGACCCCAGACAGGACCATGTGTTAGAGAAGTGACCGAAACCCTAAACCCTAAACCCTTTGTGCAATGGACTTTGGCGGCTGCCGGCAAACATGCAACTTCTTAAACCCTAAACCCTAAACCCTCAACCCCAAACCCCAAACCAAAAAAGAACCCTAAAATCTAAACCCTAACCATGAGCAGACATGCCAGACGGACGTGGTGCTTCAGGGGAAGCTCGGCGCGCGAGAGGAAGTCATGATCCTCTCGAGCAAGCAAGGGGGGGTGGGGGGTTTAGGAGTTAAGGTTTAGGGATATAAGGTTCAGAAGGAGGAATTTCAGGGAACCTCTTAGGGGTACATCTGACTGTGTCATCACGTGCCGTGTTTATGAAACCCACCTCACCACCTGTGAGGTCGTAGTCCCAGATGGAGAAGATAATCACCTAAGACATGCGGCGCGTTTTGGGGGATCTGAGCAGGGGTGTGATTTCCATCCTTGACTGAAAACTCTCCTGGCTCTTCCCACCTCCGTCCCCTGGATGAAGAACTCAAACTTCTCGTTCCACACGGGATCCGTGACGCTGACCTTCAGTGCCATGCCAGCTTCAAGTTCTTTCCCCGAGTACTGCCTGGACTCTGCATCTTGTCTGGCCTAACACAGCAGATGTGCTGCTGCCCAGCATGTTCGGAAGCACTTGGGCAAAAAGCCCAGAGGCCCAAGTCCCACACAACATGCTCGGTCTGTTGCACCTCCTGGCCCACGCGCACCTTCCGAATCCATGCGAAGTCTATGGAGTCTTCTCGGTGTGCAGCAACTGCCACCACGAAGCTGTCGTGAGCCCACTTTTGGGTAAATCCGCTGACGAATCCGACATGTGTGCGTCCAGCATCAGCCAGTGGATACTTTTGCCCCTCAGATCCCGTAACAGCTGGGCTCTTGCCAGGGTTTGTTGACCGCTGCATCATCAACAGGGGCTGACTCATCTCTGGCTGCAGATGTTTCTGCCTACGCCTAACTCCTAGGCTACATCCTAAACCCTAAACCCTTATAAACTCTAAACCCTAAACCCTTAAACCCTAAACCCTACAGCTGCTACTCCGCATTCCGGTCGCCTTGACGAACGGATCGAGACTTCCACTGAAAAGCGAAGCTTGCAGGCCGGTCGCTCGCAGCACCTTGGGGCAGCAGAGAGACGAAGCAATATATTCAAAAACAGATACACATAAATAAATAAATACATATATATATGTATATATATATATATATGAGTGTATGTAATATATATATGTATGTATGTATACAGTTGAATATTCATACGCTTTGTACATTTTAGTATCATGTGCTAAGCAAATAAATGCAGTAACAAAATCACATCATGTTTTCTTTGAACTATAGCATCATAGCAGCGTTGCCCGCCAGAGGCGCAAGTGTGAATATGGTACGGGGGCATTGCCAACAGTCGAATGTGGTGCCCTTTTTGATGCCGAGGGCTCTTTAACTCTTCAATTAGAATTGTTCTGTCCAGGCGTCGGGCGCGATTGGCTCTATTTTGTGTCGTTCGGGGGGGGTGCAACTCACCATCCTGCCTGTTGCAAAGCTGCCCTTGAGCAGTCCGGGATGTGTTTAGGGTCTGCAGGGCTTGGGGGTGCGGGGGTGGGGGGGGGGGGGTCAATTGCAACATTTCCCCCCCCCCCCCCCCACCCCCAGCTCCCCCAACAAGCCCCCCAGGTTCACGAAGATTTGTTGGTAGCGGCCTCAAAACTAGGAGCGTCTAGTTGTCGGTGGTACCGACTTGCCAGATGGTTGGTGCATTCTGAGTGGACAGTGCTTGCAATTCACCAAGGCCCCATGCTTCGAGGAGGACCTTCTTTCCCTTGGGTGACGGAGTTGCCTGGGCAGTTTAATGACTGTGCGCGCTCA